TAGCATGCCACAAATCATAAGAATCCAACAAGTAAACGGAAGAGCTAGATGTTTTATTGTTAATCACAGAGACATTGAGTTTAAACAGACTCTCATCTGCATACCCTTTCCCAACAAAGGAACCACCCTTAGACAGTACAACTTGACCACTTCAAATACAATCTTAAAACCCTTTTTTACTAAGATAGATCCAGATACTAGATTTTTCCTAATATCAGGTACATAAAGGACATCCTTCAAATTAAGGATATTTCCAGAAGTAAATCTAAGCGTTACAGTTCCTTTCCCCTCTATTTTGGAGGAGGAAGCATTGCCCATGAACAGACATTCTCCATCACTAGCGGGAGTGAATGAAGAAAATGCACCTCTCGTGCAGCAAATATGCTTGGTAGCTCCAGAATCTACCCACCAGTCTGTCATGTTGCTTACTAGATTCACTTCTGTCACCATAGCAGAGAAATTCCCATCCTCTACCACATGTCCCTGATGCTTCACAGCTTTTCCTTTCCTATTTCTGCAATCCTTTGCAAAGTGACCTGGTTTACCACAAACAAAACAGTCACCAACACTTTTATTTTTAAATTGGGGCTTAGACCGATTGTTCTTTCCTACAAATTGTTTTCCCTTATTTCTGCCTTTAAAATTCTGACCCCTTGTAAAATTTCCAATTGGTTTCTTAGTCCCAAAATTTCCTTCAATAAGATTAGCCTTGGAATCAAAGTCTGGCCTTTCCTTACGTTCTGCCATTCTATTGTCCTCCTCGATTCTAATCCTGATAATCAGATCCTCTAAGGACATTTCTTTTCTCTTATGTTTCAAACTATTTTTATACTCTTTCCAAGAAGGTGGCAATTTTTCAATTATAGCTGACACTTGAAAGCCCTCACAGATTTTATATCCTTCAGCAATAATTTCGTGAATTATAATCTGCAATTCTTCAACCTGACTAACCACAGTTCTGACATCATTCATTTTAAAATCTAAAAACTTTCCCACAACAAATTTCTTGGTTCCAGCATCTTCTGTAGCATATTTTTTTTCTAATGAATTCCATAACTCTTTTGCAGATTTACACGAGTAGTAAACATCATACAAATCTAAAGTCAAACAATTTAGAATATAATTTCTGCACATATAATCCTTATGTTCCCAATTAGCTAAATCATCGGTTTCCTTATCAGTAGGATGATCAGCAATTGTAAAACCAGGTTTATCTAATTCAATAGCATCAACGACTTTAAGTGTTGTCAAATAAAATCGCAATTTCATTTGCCATCTCTTAAAATTCTTTCCATCAAACAACTCAGGCTTTTCAGAATACTTAGGAACAGATATATCTACGACAGACATGGCAACTAATTATAAAGATAATTTCACTTTAGATTATTGGAAAAATAATTAGTTGCAGCAGTGATCAGAACAATATAATGTAGAAATATAAAACTTATCGATCGAGTCTCGTGACAGCACGATGTCCTAAAGTGAAATTGCCCGTCAATAATTGCTGTGACCTCCGTGGACAATCACTCCCAGGATACAACGATCGTAAACCACTTATGCAGCAATCACGAATGGTTTTTCTAGAACTCTCAATTGTACTCCAGAATAGGTATAAAAACCCGAATATAAGAAATTCACAATATGAAAAGAGTGATTGATTCTATTTTCTTTTTGTGTGTCTTTTCCTAAAGCAAGATATGAGTTTATATAGGCAAGATGGTAGTAACAGTCTTCACCATGTTAATGCAGAATTTTAATGACTGAGTAGTGGGTGTTTTAATGGCAGTTAGTGGGTTGTTACAAAAACAAACAGTCATAAAATACTGGCTAGTTTTACCCATTAAATAATGAAGAAAAAAATATTTGTTTTAGTCAAGGAAGCCCAAGGCCCAAATCAAGACATTTTAATATTTACGTGGGGAGTGATTCGAACCCCTGACGTCCCACACAAATGTCACATTTTCCACCACTTTGGCACTTTATCTAATTTAATTATTTCTTTCATATTTTATATTTATACCATAAATATATAACAGCAACCAGGTCCACCAGTGATCCAAAGCAAAAGAGGGTCATTTTCAGGACAATTTTCAGACTCAATGAAATAATAGAATAGCTGCACTTCATCATTATCTCCCACACCAATGTATCTAGTCAATCATTCAAACAAAAATTCTAAAAATATTGACAAAGAATTCAGTTTCTTGAATTTACTTTGCATGAAACTGCACTTGAGTCAGACCAAAAACAGACAAAATAAATCTTCTTAGGTGTTTGATAAACAGATTGGACTCAACACTACTAAACATTAAAGGGAAGTAAATAGTAATGTCTACAGAAATAAAGATTGAAAGAACTGACCCGGTTTCGAGTTTGATGGGTAGAGGACCCGAATAACCTGGAAGATTCT